TAACCACTGAACCAAATCAGCCAGGGCTAAAACTTCTTTTTTTCAAACAAGCTAGAGTAGATTCTCTTTTCTGCAGCTAAGAATATAAAATTAAAAAATCTATCATCACAATAAAGGTAAATGAGGTGAACTCCCTGAAAGAAGAGTTAAGCACATTTAAAAAAAACAGATACCTACAGTATGCAAGTACTTCAGCTGTTTGCAAAAAGCACCTAAAACAAAATGGAAAGGATAAAAAAAGAGCTAAAAAATGAAAGGATATTCCAAGACACAATATTGACATTATTTCAGTTACATTTTTGGGCACTCTCCATCCAGGGAGCATGCCTTTGTCATTCCCTTTCCCCTCTCCTTTCCCCACAGGCAGGCATCCTAAACTCCAAGGGACCCCACAAGACTTGCAACCAGGGAAGCAATGGCAGTGGCAGCTCCTCCCTTGCTAACCCCCTGAACCTGTCTCTAAGATCCCCTTTTCTCTGACTTACCAGTGAGCCAAAGCAGCCCAACCTAGGCTATCCTGTTGCTTCTTTTGTGCCCTTCCTTGTTGCACTGTCCTAAGTGTATTTTTGCTGTGGTCAATACATTTTTGCTTGCTAAAAAAAATTACGTTTTTGGTCAAAAGCACTAATACATATAAAGAGATATGCTGCAGTGATCTAAAAATACTGAATGTGTTTCCTATTCATTTGAAATGTCACCTTTTATCATGTTACATTTTGCCTCAGATCTATTTCTGAACTCATCCTAATCATCTTTATGGTACTTAAATAGGAATTTAAAGTATCTCCCAATTATTTTTCTTTTTCAATATTCTCTCAAGTATTTTTCCAGATAAACTTTCAAAGTACCTTGCAAAATTAAAAAACAAACAAACAAACCCTGTTGAAGTTCTGATTGAAGCTGCATTATACCATTTATATATTAAGGAATTGACACATTTAAAATTTGTCTTCCTTAGTCTTCCTTGTTTTCTATTTTACATCTGAGTCTTTTAATTTTTTAAAATGACAAAACTAGGAGAATATTAAAAGGACAGTATCAGATAGTATATGAACTCTAACTTAAGGAAAGTATTATAAGCAAGAAAATATGCATGAGTCATTAATACAAAGACTAATAAATTTTATAACAAAAATGTAAAATTTTTGAATGAAGTAAAGCTATTATAAATTATAGAATGTTCTCTGATAAATTTGAAACTTAGGATACTTATATACTTACCATGTACCAATTAATATACATGGTAATTTAACTCTCAGGAGGTAGGTACTATCATTATCTCTACTGGGGATTGAGCCCACAACCCCAGCATGTGCCTGACAGGGAATCGAAGCTGTGACCTTTCCATGCATGGGACGATGCTCAACCAACGGAGCCATACCGGCCAGGGCTAGAATTGATATTATATATGACAGTATTTATATCCAGTAACCTTAATGAGCTTTATCAATGTCAATAATTTATCTATAGATTCTTTTGCTTTTTCTACAGATGTTTCCTTGGGGGCCATTAATTTTTTTTTTTATCCTCACTCGAGGACATTTCCTTTCTTGCATCTATCTTCAGATAGAGCGGGAAGGAAAGAGGGAGAGAGAGAGAGAGAGAGAGAGAGAAACACCGATGTGAGAGAGACAAACCGAGTGGCTGCCCACCCATATGACCCCAACAGGGAGGGGGACAAACTGCAACTGAGGTACGCGCCCTTAGCGGGAACGGAACCCAGGACTCTCCGGTCCGCAGGCCAACACTCTAACCACTGAGCCAAACCAGCCAGGGTGGGGGCCATTTCTTTTTGCATGCTCCTCTTGGTGCCTCTCAGGTTATTTGCCTTTCTTAAATAATTGTTATAACAACAAAAAATAACATTTATTGAACACTTACTATGTGTCTGGTCGGTTTTACATATGTATACAAATGTATATATGTGTGTGCATATGAATATCTATTTTCATCAATATTGGTAGCTGTTCTGGGTTCATTCAGCAACCATGAAGGTTATTATTTCATATACAGTGTGGGGCAAAAGTAGGTTTGCAGTTGTGAGTACTTGGAACAGAGTTTATTCTTGTATTATTTATTGTAGTATTTTCCATATGAACAACTGTAAATATACTTTTTTTTTATAGGAATTTATTTATCCTCACCCGAGGACATTTTTGCATTTATCTTCAGATAGAGCAGAAGGGAGAGAGAAACACTGATGTGAGAGAGGCACATCAACTGGTTGTTACCCATACAACCCCAGCCGGGGGCTGGGGACAAACAGCAAACAAGGTACGTGCCCTTAGCCGGAACCAAACCCGGGTCTCTCTGGTCCACGGGCTAACGCTCTAACCGCTGAACCAAACCCAAACCGGCCAGGGCTGTAAACCTCCTTTTGCTCCACCCTGTACTGCAAGCAGCTCTCTGCTGTGAGTGACAAGGCACTCTGTAGGGTGTGTCCCGTCTGTGAGATGGGATAGGGAGATGTGCTATAGGGTTCACGAGATGTGTTTTCAGTATATATAATATTGAAAAAGAGAAAAACTAGTTGATCTGAACAGATTAACAAAGCCTTGTGGCTGTGAAAGTTGTGGCACCCCATCCAGATTTTTAGTCCCTTATTTTTCTTCTTATTCCCTCATCCTCATTGTGACCGTGTCCCTATCAACAGATATATCACTTTTCTTTCTTTCTTTCTTTATTTTTTTATCCTCACCCGAGGACATTTTTCCATTTTTTGTTCAGGTAGAGTGGGAGGGAGAGAGAGGAACAGAGAGAGAGAGAAAAACATCGATGTGAAAGGAACACATCGAGTGGCTGCCACCCGCACAACCGACCAGGGCCGGGGACAAACTGCAACCGAGGTACGTGCCCTTAGCGGGAACCGAACCCGGGTCTCTCAGGACCGCAGGCTGACGCTCTAACCGCTGAGCCAAACCGGCCAGGGCGATATATCACTTTTCTTAGAAGAGAGGTATTATAGTTACTGGAGGCTTAGGAACCAAAATATTTCACCTTTTACTGTGCAGAAAGTTTAGGCACTGACCTAGCTCCTACAGTTTTAAATTAATTTGCTATGTTTTTACCATCATTCCTGCCCCTTACTTAGTCTTTGCCACTGCCTCTGAGTTTGAGCTTTTCTGGGATTCTGTTAAAAGGAAAAGCTGAGCCCTGGCTGGTTTGGCTCAGCGGTTAGAGTGTAGGCCTGCGGTCCAGAGAGACCTGGGTTCGGTCCCTGCTAAGGGCACATACCTCGGTTTCAGTTTGTCCCCAGCCCTGGTTGGTTGTGCGGGTGGCAGCCACTCGATGTGTCCATTTCACGTCGATGTTTCTCTCTCTTGCTCTTTCTCCCTCCCACTCTATCTGAACAAAAAATGGAAGAATGTCCTCGGGTGAGGGGAAAAAAACAAAAGGGAAAGCTGATACACTACCTTCTTTACTGACTATGCTTTTGCTTATGTTGCATTACAAATTTTGCATTTTGACTTTTTTCTTCTCAATATACTTTCATTTGTTTAAAATTCTAGGAATTCCTCAGATTTGCTTATGACTCTTCATAACTATTATGGGCTTTTTCTAATATTTATATAACTATTTCATAACTATTTCATAACTATTATGGGCTCTTTCATAACTATTATGGGCTTTTTCTAATATTTATATCCTGTCCTCTCAGTGGGATTTTGGAGGGGGAATATGTTAGTGTTGGGACTCATTCTGCTATCATAAACTATAAGTTGTAGTTTAATATTACTGAATATTTCAGAAGTTTTAACCACTGGATTTAACTAGTCAGTATGTTTTAGAAATAAATATATGGGGTCTCTGCCACTTGACATTTGAGTTACCTTGAACAAGTTTTTTAACCATTCATAGTATTGATGTTCTCATCTGCAAAATGAAAATAATGGGAATAATTTTATCTATTGCACGGATTTGTTCCAAGTATTATTTGAGATAATACATGTAAAGCTCTTAACACAGAATCTGGTACACAATAAGTACTCAATAAATGCTATTTGTTAGTTTGTAAATATTCAGAATAGTTATTTCAAAAATAAATCAGATAGCTTTTTCTGAAAATCTTTTCAGAGAGATTAAGTAAAGATGCTAAGCTACGGGTTCTGTGGTATCAATATTTTTGACACGTGCTTGCCACTAAATGTATTTAAGACTAAGAGTTATGTGTAACTAGTAAATCTGTCCTGTAATATTTTTTCTCCTAGGATTGATTTGAAGGTTGTAAGGTAATTGCATTGTTTATAAAATTAATTTTTATTAATATACAGGGTGGGGCAGAAGTAGGTTTACAGATGTTTGTATGGAAAATATTACAGTAATAAATAATAATACAAGAATAAACTCTTGTTTCACATATTAACAACTATAAAGCTACTTTAGCCTGACCCTGTATTGATGAAAAGATTAAAACAAGTTTTGATAGCTTTCAAAATATTAAAAAGTTTTTGCCCAGCTGGTGTGGCTCAGTGGTTCAGCACTGACCCATGCACCAAGAGGTCACAGGTTTGATTCCCAGTCAGGGTACATGCCCAGGTTGTGGGCCCAATCCCCAGTTGGGAGCATGCAGGAGGTGGCCAATTGATGTTCTCTCTCATGGATGTTTCCATCTCTCCCTCTTCCTTCCTTTCTCTCTAAAATCAATAAAGAAAACAGTAAAAAAAAAAAGTTTCTTTTCTACCCTGGCTGGATTTTCTCAGTGGTTAGAGAGTCGTCCCGCGGACCAATGAGTCACGGGTTTGACTTTGGTCAAGGGCATGTGCCCTGGTTGCGGTCCATCCCCAGCCCTGGTCAGGTCATGCGGGAGGCAACCATTCAATGTGTCTCTCTCTCATCATTGTCTCTCTCTTTCCCTCTCTGTCCTTCTCTCCACTCTATCTGATGATAAATAGAAAAAATATCCTTGGGTGAGGATAAAAAAAATTTTTTTCCCCCCAATACTAATTAAAATTTTAACATGCTAATTCAGATATATAAACTGTATCAGAGTAAAACTTAGATTAATATTTTATTTCTTATTACAGCAGAATGGCCAAAGACTATGACGGGTCTTCCCAGTACATCAGGGACAACGGCCAGTGTGGTCATCATACGGGGCATGAAGATGTATGTAGCTCACGTGGGTGACTCAGGCGTGGTTCTGGGAATTCAGGACGACCCAAAGGATGATTTTGTCAGAGCTGTGGAAGTAACACAGGATCATAAGCCAGAACTTCCAAAGGAAAGAGAACGAATTGAAGGACTTGGTGGGAGGTAATATTATGCTATTTGTCTTTCCTCTTTTAATTCTTTTCTGCTTTATTAACCACATTGCCCTAATTCTCCCTTTTAATGAAGTGATTTTCTCAGTATTATAGGTTTTTTTTAATCCTCACCTGAGGATATTTTTTCTATTTATTTTCAGACAGAATGGGAGGAGGAGAGAGAGAGAAACACCAATGTGAGAGAGACACATCAATTGGTTGTCTTCTGCGTGACCCTGACCAGGGCTGGGGACCGAACCGCAACCGAGGTACGTTCCCTTGAGTGGAATCGAACCAGCAACTCTTTGGTCCGTGGGTCGACACTACCACTGAGCCAAACCGGCCAGGGCTATATGGAGAATTTTTAATAATAGGAGAGTGCCTATTGGTTACAGTAGGATATAAAATGATATTTGTAGTGTAATCTCAACTATGCAGAGAAATAGAAATAGTGTAGAAATATACTAATCAACAACTTGCTGAATGATGATTGACTTATATATACACAGGCATACACTTTTTTAGGTAGTATAAAGTGATGTATTATAGAAGGTCTCTCAACTACTACTGTCCCATAGGCCACCCAGTTCCCCTCCACCTACAAGACCTTAGCTACCCTGTGTGCATGCTGTTTGATTTGTGCAGGACTAGGAAGTCCTGGGCTATTAAAAGATACTGATTCCTGTGCTGGCTGGTGTGGCTCAGTTGGTTGGGTGTTGTCCTGTCCACTGAAGCCTTGCCAGCTCGATTCCTGATCAGGACACAACCTCAGATTGTGGGCTCCATCTCCGGTGAGGGGAATGCAGGAAGCAGGCAACCCATCGATGTTTTACTGTCACATCGATGCTTCTTTTTCTCTCTTTAAAAATCAGTAAAAAGCCCTGGCTGGTTTGGCTCAGTGGTTGGAGCATCGGCCTGCGGACCAGAGAGTCCCGGGTTCGGTTCCCACTAGGGGCACACACCAAAAAAATAAAAAAAAATAAAAATAAAAAAATCAGTAAAAATATTTTTAAAAAAAGACTGATTCTTGAGGCATATGAAGCTCACTTGGGGGTGAAAGGCTACAGAATGGCTCCTAGATTTCTGTAAGGGTCATTGCTGAAAACAACATGATTGAAGCTGTCTCCTTGCTTATTGTTTTCTGTTCTGTATCCCACAAAGTTAAATGAGCCTGGTTTCATACTATAATTTATTTGATTCTTTGAGTATCAAGGTCAGTCTGTATGACAAGTTGCATAACACTGCTGGTAGTCATGCAGAGTGGGCTTTATAATTATAAACTGAATTCCTGTATATATTTGTTTTTTTTCTGGGCTTTCTATTTTTTATACTGTATGTTCATGTACCAGTACCTACTTTTTAAATCGAAGCGTTAGCCCTGGCCAGTTTGGCTCAATGGTTGATTGTCGGCATGCAGACTGGAGAGTTCTGGGTTCGGTTCCCTCTAGGGGTACGTACCACAAAAAAAAAACAATAAATTGAAGCTTTATTATAGTTTTTAACACTGGTAAGCCTGATCTTTTCTCATTAATCTTTAAAATATATTTTTCTTCACCATTCTTTATTTTTCTATATGAATTTTTAAATTATATTTTCTTTGATTTTTTTTTTTGTAACTTTTTTTTAGAATTTATGTTTTTTTTGTATTATCTCTTAAAATGCCATCTGGATAATTGGACAGATGCTGTTTGCTATTTGGGAGCAGGTGTCTTTTTGCATAAATTGAGCTGTTTTATTATAAGTTATTTCCTCCTTTCCTTCTATCTCACCCTAGGCAACTGGCCAGTGCTCTGTTTTTCTAGCCTTCTGTTGCTGCTAAGTCAGCTCTCTGCATATCAGGCTGATCTTTTGTATTTGCCTTTCAATCATACATGGCAAGGGTGAGGAGTATAATAAAAGCATTTCTTATACCATTGCTTCGATTTTTTTGATTCTGGATTTAAAACTTTGTTTTAGTCAGTACCATTATTTTGTCTTTTGTTTGTCAGAAACATAGAGACCATAATATTTTTTAATAGTAAGTATTAAGAGAGTTCCTAGTGTAGTTATGTGGAAAGCAATCTGGGTAGGTACTCTAATTACTTAAATATTAAGCCTTATGCCCTGGCCAGTTTGGTTCAGTGGTTAGAGTGTTGGCATGTGGTTCGGAGAGACCTGGGTTCGGTTCCTGCTAAGGGTGCGTACCTCGGTTGCAGTTTGTCCCCGGCCCTGGTTGGGTTGTGCGAGTGGCGGCCACTCAATGTGTCCCTTTTGCACCAATGTTTCTCTCTCTCTTTCTCTTCCTGTCCCTCTCACTCTACCTGAACAAAAAATGGAAGGAAGAATGTCCTCAGGCGAGGATAAAAAAAAAAATTTAAGCCTTATTTTTAGGAAAGGCAAATAATGCTTAAGGTGCTAGGAAGGTAGAATGTTGATATCTCTTCTCCTGTAACTCTTATGTCTTATAGATGTTCTGAATGATAGATTTAGTCTTTATTCTCTGATTTGCTTTTCTAAAAATTTCTTCTTATTTATTTTTTTATCTCTTTAAGGTTTCTTTTTTTTTTTTCTTTTCTGATTTGCTTTCTGAGGATCAGCATTGAAGAAAGCATTAAATAACAAAATGACTGCCTTTGATATTCTTACTCTTCTATGACCTAGAATACTATTGTTTTTAGAATTGTGAATTAAACTCAAAAGGGATAGTAAATGAGCAACTCTCTTGAATTTCTCTTCTGTGTTAACATTGACCATATTTTCTGGTTATTCTGTGCTTGCTTCATTCCTACCCTGTACTGTTCAGTATAGTAGCCACTAGCCACATATGACTGATTAAATTTAAATATAAATGAAATAGAATTAACTCCATTTCTCATTTGCACTAGCCACATTTACAGTGCTTAATAGCCACACATGGCTAGTGACTACTGTATTTGGACATTGCAGAGTAAACATTTCCATCATTGCAGGAAGTTTCATGAAACAGCTGCTCAAATGTCCTGGCCTGCTCTTATCAGATGAGCTTGTTTTCTACTTTAGGAAAAAGATTGAGGCTGTTCTTATTTTGTCATATTCATGGTTTTGGGTTGTTGTTTTTTTTTTGCTCAGAGGAAGATTGTTTTTTTCTTGTTTATAAGGTTTATGCCTTTATTTTACTTCTCTTAGAACTTTTATTTCATTTGTTATCTTTTCTCTCTCTAGTATCTTTATTCCTTTGAAGTTAGAGCAGAGATATAAAAATCATACATGGAGGATAACCAGATGAATGCTGCTGAGGTTTATAGCAGGCATTTCATAGTGACATTCAGTTGGAGGTGGTCACCATTATTTGTCTTGCCTTCAGTTTTTTGTATCTTGAAGCCAGTTTAGTTTCAGTGTTCATAAAGTTTAGGGGAACTAATAAGAGATTCATAGGTTAGGATGTTATAGTACTTGTTACTGAGAAAATAACTGACAAGAAGACTACATGTTATTGTCCTCGGTCCTGTGGAAGAAAAAAAATTTCAGATTCTAATCAAAGGATTTCTGGATGCACATGGGACATGAGTGAGAATACTTAATTAGATTATCTTGCCCTGGCCGGTTTGATTCAGCAGTTGGAGTGTCAGCTTGCGGTCCCGAGAGACCCAGGTTCGGTTCCCGCTAAGGGCACGTACCTCGGTTGCAGTTTGTCCCTGGCCATGGTTGGTCGTGCGGGTGGCAGCCACTCGATGTGTCCCTTCACATCGATGTTTCTCTCTCTCTCTCTCCCTCTCTTTCCCTCCCACTCTATCTGAACAAAAAAATGGAAAAATGTCCTCAGGTGAGGACCAAAAAAAAAAAAATTAGATTATCTTAATGTCATGTGTCTTTGACAGCCTTGGAAATGATTCATTCTGTCTTATGCATGTATCTGGCAGATGGACCCAATATTGTTTCTTGGAAATATTCTTTGCCATTCTGCATCCCAACTTTTCTAGCTTTCTAGAGGAATATTTTTCGTCTGTTGGTTTTTTTTAAATATTTAGGCAGATTATGGTTAAATTGATTTAAGGGTCTGTTTCCCATTTCAGTAATATCAGTCATAGGTTGAGAGACCCATCTTTATTGTTTTTTCTCTCCCATCTCTATTGTTTTCGATTATATATATTTTTTGCTCCAAGACTTGACCATATTTTCAGGTTTTAGGCAAACTAGAGTAATAATTACAAGGTACTAATTATAGATTTCTGTTGCTCCTATGCCAGATTTCTAGGATGATTTTTCTTATTCTGTTAACTCCTAAATCTACATTTTTACAGATCTGTTTCTAAAGTCTGATCTTACACTTCTAATTACAGAAATATCTAAATAAATAAATATTTCTATTGAAGCATTTCCTATTCCTCAAATCAAAACTATTAAAACTAGCCCTGGCTGGTTTGGCTCAGCGGTTAGAGTGTAGGTCCATAGACCAAAGAGTCAAGGGTTTGATTCCCAGTCAAGGGCATGTACCTCGGTTTCAGGTTCCATCCCTGGCCCTAGTTGGGGTCATGCGGGAGGTAACCAATTGATGTGACTCTCTCACATCGATGTTTCTCCTTTTCTCTCTTCCTCTCACTCTAACTGAAAAGTAATGGAAAAATAACCTCCAGTGAGGATTTAAAAAATACGTATTAAACTGAGTACCTTCAAACCCCTCAAAAAGTATGTAACCTTTTGTTTTTAATTTTTTTTATCACTATTTTTTTTATATATATTTTGTTTAGATAGAGTGGGAGGGAGGGAGAGAGAGAGAAACATCGACGTGAAAGGGACACATCGAGTAGTTGCCACCCGCACAACCCAACCAGGGCCAGGGACAAACTGCAGCTGAGGTACGCGCCCTTAGTGGGAACCGAACCCGGGTCTCTCGGTACTGCAGGCTGACGCTCTAACCGCTGACCCAAACCAGCCAGGGCCCCTCAATTTTTGTTTGTTATGAAGTTATCTTCCTTTTTTTTTTACATGATATCTACTCATTTTTCTTCACATAACTTCTATTCATTTTAATCTACTTTAGTAATCTTAATCTGCCCTATTTTATCTTTCCTATGTGAGCAGGAACTTTGGCTTATTTATCTTTGTATCTGAAACAGATATGTTATTGTTTTTTGATAATATAATCTGATTTTATTAGTCATTTAACACATAGAACTACCTTAGTTGTTATGTTTTAATCATTTAGAATATATGAACTCTGTTTTTTAGTGTGATGAACAAATCTGGGGTGAATCGTGTAGTTTGGAAAAGACCTCGGCTCACTCACAATGGACCTGTTAGAAGGAGCACGGTTATTGACCAGATTCCTTTTCTGGCAGTAGCAAGAGCACTTGGTAAGTACAGCTTACATTTGGTGCAATCATATTGGATGTTCTATAATATATGATGGCAAAATGAAAAAAATTCAAATTCTCATTTGCCTTGTAATGAGGATAGGAATAGGATGATAGTATATTAAATGCTTGAAAACCTATTGGAGCCCTGGCCAGTTTGGCTCAGCGGTTAGAGCGTTGGCCTGCGGTCTGGAGAGACCTGGGTTCGGTTCCTGCTGAGGGCACGTACCTCAGTTGCAGTCTGTCCCTGGCCCTGATTGGGTCGTGTGGGTGGCAGCCACTCAATGTGTCCCTTTCACGTTGATGTTTCTCTCTCTCTCTCTCCCTCCTACTCTATCTGAACAAAATATTGAAAAATGTCCTTGGGTGAGGATAAAAAAAAAAAAAGAAAGCCTATTAGAGGGGAGCCCTGGCAAGTGTTGTTCAGTGGTTAGAGCATCGGCCCATGCACCGAAGGGTCAGAGGGTTGATTCCCAGTCAAGGGCAGACTCAGTCTCTGGGAGTCATGTGCAAGAGGCAACCAATCAATGTGTCTCTCTCTCATCGATGTTTCTCTCTCTCTCCCCTTCACACTCTATCTAAAAATAAATGGAAAATATCCTCTGCCCAGCCAGTATGGCTCAGTGGTTGAGCATTGACCCATGCACCAAGAGGTCACCGATTCCTGGTCAGGGCACATGCCCAGGTTGTGGGCCCAATCCCCAGTGGGGGGCATGCAGGAGGCGGCTAGTTGATGTTCTCTGTCATCGGTGTTTCTGTCTCTCTCTCCCTCTCCCTTCCTTTCTCTCTAAAGATCGATAAAGAGAAAAATATATATATATATATATATCCTCGGGTGAGGATTTAAAAAAAAGAAAGAAAATAGAGGGTATTTGCCTGGCCTGTGTGGCTCGGTGGGTTGAGCATCATCCCATGGACTGAGAGGTCCCAGTTTGATTCTTGGTTAGGGCACATGCCCAGGTTGTGGGCTTGATCTCCAATAGGGGGCATGCAGGAGGCAGCCGATGGATGTTTGTCTCTCTCTAAAAAAAAAAAAAACATGTTAAAAAAAAAAGAATAGAGAGTTTTTAAAATGGGGAACAACTCATTGGACTGAGGCAAGATCTTACTTTAGGTTCAAAAGTAAGGTGATTCTTCAATTTTAAAAAAGTAGATGCCAAATTATTTTGTATATATGAAGTGTATGTACCCAACATTTCAAGTAGGCCTTGAAACTCTTAAGTGACTGTATAGAGGAAGAAAATGAACAGGTGAATTTACTGGCAGAAAGAACAGGAAAATCAACTTGTTTTTCTGTTTGAGACACTCCTACTCAGCTCAGAGATTTCCTCTAGAGTAATTCAGACAAGAAGTAATTCAGCCCCACTTACATACCTTCAGTAATCTTTACTTATTGTTTCAAAGTATAAACAAAATCTTGCATTATTGGACAACTTTAATTGTGAGTTATAATCTGCTTTTGTAACTCAGACATTGGCTCTAGTTTTATGTGCTGAAACAAAAACGGGGCTGTGTACTTATTTTGACTTTTGCATAATGACATTCGTTTACCTATTCAGAATTGGCTAGCATGTTTCCCTGATCTTTGCTCTTAGGTGAATTTTAGACTCTTTATTATTCTTGTCATTTTCCTCTGGATGTTGCCTTCAATAAATGTGTTCCGGAATTGAAGACACTCTTCAAGATGTGGTAATTATAATTACTTTTAGTAATTATACCACAGTTGTTGGCTTCTAAGCTCAAATCTGTAGTTTTTTTGTTTTGTTTTTAAATAAACTGCTACCAGGTCAAGTTTCTCTGTTATACCCTGTTGATTTTTATTGGGATGGTGTGAGGGTAGAGAGATAGAGACTGAATAATAGCAGCATTCGATGAGATTTCTACAGAATGTATTATTTAGTGCAAAAGGTATTGCTTACTAGATTGGTGTGTATTTGGAGAGAGAGAAATATTGATTGATGTAATGCTATAATTTTTTCCTTTGTTTGTTTCAAAATTTGTTAGCTCCCTGGAGAAAGAAATAGAATATGTATTTCTCAATTCTGTATATTACATAAATTTTAAAAAGTATTTAGGCAGCCCTGGCTGGTTTGGCTCAGTGGTTAGAGTGTCGGCCTGTGGACTAGAGAGTCCCAAGTTAGATCCCACTAAGGGCACGTACCTCGGTTGCGTTTCGTCCCCAGCCCTGGTTGGGGTCGTGTAGGTAGGTGGCAACCAATCTATGTGTCTCTCACATCGATGCTTCTCTCTCTCTTCCTCCTTCCCTCCCTCCCACTCTATCTGAAGGTAAATGCAAAAATGTCCTCGGGTAAGGATGAAAAAAAAAGTACTTAGGCAGCAGGATATTAGAATTGTTTTATTTTATTTTATTTTTTTTTATCCTCACCCGAGGATATTTTCCATTTTTTGTACAGATAGAGTGGGAGGGAGAGAGAGGAAGGAGAGAGAGAGAGAAACATCGACGTGAAGGGACACATCGAGTGGCTGCCACCCGCACGACCAACCAGGGCCGGGGACAAACTGCAACCGAAGTACGCGCCCTTAGCGGGAACCGAACCCGGGTCTCTCCGGACCGCAGGCCGACGCTCTAACCGCTGAGCCAAACAGGCCAGGGCTAGAATTGTTTTAAATTGTCTTCCCACAGAGTGCTTTTAGTTGCACAGTAGAGAGTAATCAGGCAACACCTTGACTGGATAATCAAAATACCATCACTAATGAGGAATAGTTGGACATTGTGTGCCTCCAGATGTGTGATATGCTGAGAAAGACACAATAGCCCCTATGTAATACTCTGGCTGGTTGGCCTGCGGTCCAGAGACCCAGGTTTGTTTCCTGCTAGGGGCACATACCTCGGCTGCAGTTTTTCCCTGGCCCTGGTTGGTTGTGCGGGTGGCAACCACTCGATTTGTCCCTTTCATGTCAATGTTTCTCTCTCTCTCTCCCACTCTATCTGAACAAAAAATGGAAAAATGTCCTCTGGTGCGTGAAAAAAAAAAAAAAAACTCTGACCAAGAATGCATAACTCATTCCAGATTAAAAGAGGCTGAAGAGCCCTGGCTGGTTTGGCTCATATAACAAAAAGTGATTATATATGTAGATAGAAAATAAAGTAAATGGGTTAAGATGTCAAAGGTGAATCTGGTTAAAGAGTAAAAGAGCATATAGGTATTCTTTGTCCCACTTATATTTTCGTAACAGTACATTTGAAGTGATCTCCAAATAAAATGTTATTGAAAATAGACTGACAGTAATAATATAAAATTTAATAGGAATAAATATAGAGGACTAAAGTTAAGAGCATTATTTGGGAGACATCTGTTTTCATAGCAGCATTTCACATGAAAAAGAACTAGAGATTTTTTTTTTTGGTGATTACTCATGCATTACCAATAATCCAACAATGTTAAGTATAATTTAGTCATAAAAAATAATGCAGTGATACAGTAGAATATTCAGAATAAGGAAATGGTTATGCCACTATACTCTCTACTTTATCCAGAGGAAGTTGGCCATGTTGGAGATGTTTCGAACATCATACTATAATAGAAAAAAAACTACCAAATTGAGTGGGCTTTTTTTTTTTTTTTTTAATAATGTGTCAGGTACTGTAGAAGCACTTTATATGTTCTTTCATTTCTACACTTTATAAAATGGCAGGATGGTAGGACTGGTGTAGTTCATCAGTCAAGAAACTGCTTAGCAGTTGTAGTCATAAGAACACATTGTTGGCACTTCGAATGCACCTTTGTCCAACTTAAGAGTATAAACTCGCCCACTGTATAATGCTGCCATTCTAAACTTACACAGCATAATTTGACAAGGTATAGCCTGGAGTAGAAATACTGAGGACACTTATAGCTGGCTTAATATCTGTGAAGTTCTCTCATCTAGAAGAAGAATTAGCCTGATTTTTTAAGAAGTAGCTGTAGAGAGCTATAAAAAAGAAAAGCAAATTTTAGTTTAGTAAAACAAAAATTATGGTAGTTGATAAAATATAAATAACATTATTTTGTGAACTGTAGTGAGGCCTTCCTTGATAAGAAGTGTTCAAGTGGCTAAATGGCTACCCATTGTGGCTAGCATAGATTTCTACATTGGGTAGGAATCTAGAGAATATCAGACTTTGAGGGTCTTATCGTTCTCAGAGTCTGTGGTAATGTTAAAATTGCTGATCTTTGGATTAGCTTTTCTTCATAATCAAAATATCTTTTTTTTTCAACTTGCTTTTTTCATTATGCATTGTTTTTGAGATTTATCCCTGTTTATAAATGCAGTTCTAGTTCAAATCAATTGTTGTACGTTCAGTTGCAATATGAAACTGGTTTCTTCCACTGCCCTGATTGGTTGACATTTAGGTTATATCCATGCATTTGCTGTTATGAAAAATGCTGCAATAAACATCTTGCATACATGTATAAGATGTCTTTAAGGGACACATACAATATAATAATATTTCTACAGTAAACAGGGAAGGCTACTTGAAGCAGGAGGTAACTAACTGACTTAAAGGCTCTTGCCACCTGGGTCCCACCCTGGTGACCCAAGGTTACACTCCACTCATCCATGACATACCACTTAGAAAGCTCAGTAATTTATAGATATATATCTCGTCAGCATTATTAGATATTGTTGAGTTTCTCCCCAAAGTGATTATGTCAGGTTATTAAAATCCCACTATATTATCTATTGCTATCTAACAGAATACTCCCAAATTTGCTGTTTAAAATATTTATTATCTCACATGGTTTCTATGGCTCAGGCACCTGGGAGTCGCTTAGCTAGGTGGTTCTGGCTCAGGGTCTCTCACATGATTGCAACCAAGATGTCAGCTATGGCTGTGATCATCTGAAAGCTTGAATGGTGTTGAACATTTACTTCTAGGATGTCTTACTTATGTAGATCTTGGCAGGAGGCTTTGGTTCCTTGCCCTGTGGGCCTCTCGGTGGGGCTGTTTGATGATGTGTCTCCATGACATGGCAGCTGGCTTCCCCAGAATGAGT